AGCGCACCATTCACACTGCCGACGTTACAACCATTGTGGCGTATGCACTTGACGCATGCATTTTCCGGGCATGCAACAACACCTACAAGCAAATTCGGGGAGCTGGGATTGGCTCCCAGCTCTCCGGCCCTTTGCAACGTTGCCATCACCCTCATTGAACACTCCTGGCATCAGCTTCACAACAATCTCCTTCAACACACTGCCCTCCACTTCGCGTACTCTCGCTACGTGGACAACCGTTTCATTGTCCACAATGAACAATTCCTTTCACATCCCACCATCCAGACCCTCATCCACAAATTGGAGACGGTGGAAGACTTTCACCGTTTAGGTTTCAACATTGACCTCCAGCAACGCACCATCACATACATTCAACCCACCCAACCCTGGAAAATCCGGGACCACACCAGCGCCGGTAGCCAGCGCTTGGCTCTGTCCGGCTTTGCTTCAAGACTTCACTCCATCTATACCTACACGTTTCCACCCAACAACGCCACCGCTGCGGCTGAAGCCCTGGTCAACCTATACGCCCAAAAAGGGCATGACCTGCAAGCGTGCAGGCGGTTTTTGAGAAAAAAGATCCGTTTTTCCACCGCTCAGTCTGTGCGCCGATCACGGCGTCTTGTGTGTGTCACACCCTGGTTCTAAGGGTTTTCCACACCTTCACCACCTTTTCCACTATGACGGGGGATTTCACAGGCAGGGGGCATGGCAGCTGTTTCCCTACGAAGCTACGGGATTCAGCCGGAAGGGAATGTGGACGCACATTCCTGTACCTGCAACGTGAACTTTTGGTCAAGCTGTCCACTACCGCTTTTTTGTTTCCATGGTCGTTCATGCTTCCTCCCCTAAACCCACTTTCCTGCAGCTGAGCTCGTCACCGCACTGATTGTACAGATCGATTTCGAGGCCATTCGGAAACATTTTTTAAACAATACTGTTTTTGCCGACTCATGCACCTTTCCGTTCCCTCACCTTCCTTCCCATCGTGGCAATTGAGTCTAACTGAAAACCCAAGTTCGAAGTGTGAAACTCTTGGAGTCACAGGGAATCCTTTGATTTGGTTCTTCTTTTAAATAGCAGGGGGACAACCCCGTGGATGCAGTTGGTTGTCCAACGAAGAGTGCTGCATTCCATCGCTGATATGATCCTGCAACGCTAGGATCACGTACCTGCTTTTGTGATGACTCCACTTCTTACCGGCCCCTGCTTGTAACTAGAACAAGACTTCTCTCTTGGCTTCGGCTCTGCACTAAAGTGCTAATGAGCCCGCCCGTCGTGCAATTGCAACTTGGAGGCTTTCAAATGTTGGAAAGTTAGCTTTCGTGATGGTCGAGCGCCGCTCCATTAGCTACTCGCAGGTGTTTGTTTACCTGGCCTCGTAGGATTATGGATACTTCGGTTGCCGTGTGGCGAGCGGCATTCAGTTCCGTTCGCATTATCTTGAGTGTGTGTGTGTGAGCAATGCAAGGTTGTAGCTAAAAACGGAGGGAGGAAAGATAAGATGTGTAAAGCCATAAATAAACACAAGCATTGGCCATATGGAAAAGACGGACAGTGCATTTAATATCATGTGATGCTGAGAGTGAGATGAGGGGAGATATCTACAACCCAGGGAGAGGAGTCCGGTGACTAGGGCGCATCACGATCGAGGAGTTCCTAGTGTGCGATGGAGCGTTGAAGGATGTGTGGGGAGTAGCGTGTGGGAATGCTGAATGGAGTGAGGTAGTTGTAGAAAAAGGAAAGGAAGAAAAGAGGAAGAAGAAGAAGGAGAGAAGAAGAAGAGGAAGGACAAGAAGAAGACAAATACTACCGTAATAGTAACAAGAAGAGAAGAGGAAGAAGAAGAATAGGAAGAAGAAGAAGAGGAAGAAGAAGAAGAGGAAACAATGAAATGAAGAAGAAGAGGAAGCTGAAGAGGAGAAAGAAGACGAGGGAGACGAAGAGGAGGAAGAAGAAGACGAAGAAGAGAAGAAGAAGAAGAACAAAAAGATAAAACATGACAAAAACAAAAGGAGTAAGACGAGGAAGAAGGACAACAAAAAGAACAAGAATAGGAAGAAGAAGGAGAAGAGGAAGAAGCGGATGAAGAAAAGGCAGAACAAAGGAACTAGAAGAAAAACAAGAGGAAGAAGACGAAGAGGAAGAAGGAGCGTAACAAATGGAAGAAGAAGAGGAACACAAAGAAAAGGAAGAGGAATAGGAAGATTAGGAAGAAGAGGAAGAAGAGGAGGAAAAAGGAGATGCGGAAGACGAAGAAGAGGAGGAAGAGGAGGAAGAGGAAGCAGAATAATAATAATAAGAAACATAAGAAGAGGAAGAAGAAAAAGAAGAGAAGAAGAATAAGAAAAATAAGAAGAGGAAGAAGAAGAAGAGAATAAACATAATAATAAGAAAAATATGACAAAGAAGATAAAACAGAAGAAGAGGAAGATAAAATAGGAGGAACACCAATAATAGCAAGAAAGAAGAAGAAAAGGACAACAAGGAAAACAAGAAGAGGAGGAAGAAGAGGAGGAAGAAGGAAAAAATGACGAAGAAGAGCAAGAAGAAGAGGAGAAAGAGAAGCAGAGGAAGAACAGGAAAAACAGAAGAATAAAAAAAAGAAGAAAAACAACAAGAACAAGAAGAAGAAGACGCATATATAAAAAGAGGAAGAAGAACAGGAAGAAGAGGAAGAAGAGCCAGAAGAAGAGGGGGAAGAACAAGAAGAGGAGGAAGAGGATGAAGAAAAAGAAGAGGAAGGAGAAGAGGAGGAACATGAAGAAGAGGAACAATATTACTGTAAGAGGAACAAACGAGGAGGAAACAAAACATAAAGAAGAGAAGGAGGAAGAAGAAGAGGAGGAATAAGAAGAAATGGTGAAGAAGAAGAGGAAGAAGAGGGGGAAGAGGAAGATGAGGAAGAAGAAGAAGAAGAGGAAAAAATGAAATGAAGAAGAAGAGGAAAACATGAAATGAAGAAGAAGAGGAAGCTGAAGAGGAGGTAGAAGACGAGGGAGACGAAGAGGAGGAAGAAGAAGACGAAGAAGAGAAGACGAATAACAAAAAGAGGAAGAATAACAAAAACAAAAGGAATAAGAGGAGGAAGAAGGACAGGAAGAAGAAAAAAGATAGGAAGAAGAGGAGGAAGAAAAGGCAGAGAAAAGGAACTATATAGAAGAAAACAGGAGGAAGAAGAAAAGGAAGAAGGAGCGTAACAAATGGAAGAAGAAGAGGAACACAAAGAAAAGGAAGAGGAATAGGAAGAATAGGAAGAAGAGGAAGAAGAGGAGGAAAAAGGAGATGCGGAAGAAGAAGAAGAGGAGGAAGAGGAGGAAGAGGAAGCAGAAGAAGAAGGAACAAAGGAATAATAAGAAACATAAGAAGAGGAAGAAGAAAAAGAAGAGAAGAAGAATAACAAAAATAAGAATAGGAAGAAGAAGAAGAGGAGGAAGAAGAAGAGAATACACATAATAATAAGAAAAAGAAGGCAAAGAAGAGAAAACAGAAGAAGAGGAAGAACAAATAAGAGGAAACCCAATAATAACAAGAAGAAGAAGAAGAGGAAAAAGAGGAAAACAAGAAGAGGAGGAAAAAGAGGAGGAAGAAGGAAAACATGACGAAGAAGAGGAAGAAGAGGAGAAAAAAAAACAGAGGAAGAACAGGAAGAAGATGCAAAAAACAGAAGAAAAAAAAGAAGAATAGCAGCAAGAAAATGAAGAAGCAGAAGAATAGTAATATAAAAAAGAAGAAGAAGAACAGGAAGAAGAGGAAGAAGAGTCAGAAGAAGAAGAAGAAGAAGAGGAAACCCAAGAAGAGGAGGAAGAGGATGAAGAAAAAGACGAGGAAGGAGAAGAGGAGGAACATGAAGAAGAGGAAACATATTACTGTAAGAGGAACAAACGAGGAGGAACTAACATGTAAAGAAGAGGAGGAGGAAGAAGAAGGAAACGGTGAAGAAGAGGAAGAAGAGGAGGAAGAAGAAGAAGAGAAGAGGAAAAGTAAAAAAAAATAGGAGGAAGATAAAACACGGAATGAAGAAGACAAAGAGTCATAGATAGATTGAGGAAGTTCAGTAGTGGATGGTTACAATGTAGTCCTGGATGGAGTTGTGTGCAGGACGTCAGGATCTGTGGGTGGAGGTGGAGCCGAGGTGTTCGGGAATACCGGAAAAATGGGAAAAAATGTTCATGACCAAAAAGACGTGTTTCAATAAATTAATCCAGGTGAGCAGCTGCTTGCCGGAGTGAAGCTTGAATGCTGAGACGGTTAGGCAAAAATGGATGTGAAGAAATAATATCAACCAGCTGGTAAGCAATCAAAACCATCTCATAGAGTGACTATCGTTGCGGCCACCGAGAGATCATCACCATCTCACGAAGAGAGACTAGCTCGATGAAAAAGTTGAAGTGCCAAAGCAGGATGATCTGAGAATGTGTAAGGGGGAGAATATGCATATTTGAGAAAACTCTCCCTCGAATGTTGGTGCCGCTATGACCACCTTCATGTAAAACCTGATAGCCTGAATCTTCTTATGCCTAAAAAGAGACCCTTTCAGTCGTTCCTGCTCGGCTCTTTGACCCATGTTCCATGTTTGGTCTCGGCCGGACCATCGGGCAGACGCCGGGCCCACAACAGACGCACTTGCACTCTTCCGCAAGCCTCACCAAGCCTCAAGCGGCCTCAAAGACTCCAGGAGTTGAGCATGGTTAGTGACTGATGGCCGCATGCCCCTTATGTATATAAATAGAAAACACTCCGGCGAACTCACGTTCCAAGACTATCTTCTGAGAAAGATCACACGTGACAAAGGAACCCGGCCAAAAACTTGTCAAACAACACCCCTGTGATTCCAAGGTGTAGATACACGCTCACACACCAACACGCACACATTGTACTCACAGTGAGTGTTTTTGCAATTAGATGGTTCAGCAATGTTCAGCACAAGCTGAGAACAATTGCAAGTCCTGAGATTCCCATTTGCTTTGCTGTCTTCAAGTGAGCCTTGAGACTCTGAGGCCTCCACCCAGCACCCCTCCGCCTCAGAGGCAATGTCCCACTTCCAAGTGCTGTGAGAATAAGCACTGTGTCTCACTTACAAACACATATATATATATACATACATAATTCCTCTTGACACTCACTCGTGAGGACGAAGCCACCCCCTCCGCGGCAAACATTGACCGAGCCCGAGTGCACCAACTTCTATTTTGTTAAAACCTTTTTCCACGGCCGAACGATGCGGTATAAAATATGTTAAGTCCACTACAACCTTCACAGTGCGATTTTGCTAAGGCCACAGCCAGGAAACCTCGAACGCCCTGACCTCAAAAGGGTCTCCTCACATGTTCATGTTGGAGGAACCGGATGAATGTTCACTATTCATATTCTCCTTGGAAGATTGACAACAAAAGAGTCAACCCAGCTGGCCGACTTTGGTAAGGTGCTCCTACATCTGCGGGGTACACGCAAGGGCGAAGCAATGAGGTCGTGCAAATATGCTGACTGGATGTTCGATGTGCAGATGTCTCTGCAACTTAAAGCAGTGTTTGCCAAAGTTGGTTCATTTAGGTTCAAACTGCGGCTGGGGAGTCTTCCAGCTGCGCACTCAGAAAGATGTGTCCAAATCACTAGCTAATAGTATCCCAAAAGACTTCAGCCGTTTTCTGCATGTTTGGCCTGAGAGTTCCCTTTTGAAAGTTTACTTTCTTTTCTGGAAATCTTCGAGGTGACGACACGAGTGAAGACTCTGAGTCGGATGAACCGTTGCTGACCAAGTCAGAAGACTGATCTTGTGATGCGCAAACACATCAACTCGTGACAGATGTGACGCTCAGGGCCAGCGTGCCATTACGCCCACCTCCACGCAGCAAGCTAAGCTTTGCTAGGCTGACTGCAAGCAGACGGTCCTCACACTGACCGTCATTGTGCCTAGTTTTAGGTGGACGACCGCAGGGGGAGCCAGATTTTATTGAAAGCGATGAAGTGTAGTCATCACTTCTTCGCTTGTGGCTAGTTGATGCGTTCTACAGGAGTGACGCCAAAGTGATAAGTGATAATGTTTGGCCGTGATGGCCTTTGCCTTCTGTCGAGGAATTGACTTTGTTTACTTGGCTCCATGTGTCAATGTGAAAAAGCAGCTTGTACGCTACAGATTGTCGGATGCTTTTTGACTCAGACATCCACGCCAGTCTTGCTTGGCAAGGCATGATATGACATGCGTATTTGGCAGCTTGTCCGATTGCGTATATCTGTGGAGAGTCATCAGTCATCACAGATTGGCCAAGTCTGTGGCGGCAATGTCTTGGCTCACTTCTTTTTGGAGCATTGACAGGCATTTCAACGCAGGTCACACTCAAAAAGCACACATGACAAATTGGAAGTCAGCCAGCCAAACAAGATGAGTACATTTGGCAAGCCAGACAATGAATGAAGACAACTGATCTCTGAGATCTTTGTAATGACCGGGGCTGCGACGCTTGGTGATGGGACTTCCCAGAAGAAGGATGTTGAGTTTCTCAGGCTAGAGACGATTCCTTGAACCGACCTCTCCACATATTCACCCTCCTACCAGCTCCTACCTGCCGGCTGACAAACGATGAGAACCGATTGGGACTTGTCAGTCTGGTCATTCTTGTCAGTCTTCAGGTTGGAGAATCGAAGTTGAGGGAGCTGACAGAGCTGGACAGACATGATGCCAACTGATGTCGCCGATGTCTCTGTGTTTGTTTGGTCCTTACAAAATCCTTGCTTTACTTTCGGGCTTCCATTGAGCGACATCAGGTTTCCAATGAACCTCTGAAGGCTCGCTTGTTAAACATGATGGCCTTTGCCATGCACTTGTGAATTGTGCAATACTGACAGGAATTTAGCTCTGATGAAGAGGACATCAGTTTGTGAGTTCAGCCAGGATTGACTTTGTTTCAAGTCTTTTCTGGATAGATTTGAAGATTCCATGGCCAAGGCTAAGGGTGCTAACCAGCTGCTTTGGATTAATTGAACCGTACCGGGACTGGTGCAGGAACCGGATTCTTCTCGACAGGAGCAGGAACAAAGTCACGATATTCCTTCAAGCTCGACACAGGACGGACTTTGTGGGCTTTGACGATCAAAGCAGGATGCAATTTTGGACATGCAAAACAACCTTGCAAACCAGATTTGGCATTATTTTTGTCGTAGAATCGTTCGAATGACACGAAATGTCCCAAGAGCTTTCCCTCTCGACTCGTCAGCTCTGTCTGATGGTGACACCCTCAGACCGTGTTCTTCTGCATCTAATGCAGACACACACAAAAAAAAACAGGTATATGTATTCACATTTAGAATTCAGACGTTTTGCAGGATGTAGCTAGATCCTTGAGCCCTTCAGTTTGTTGTGAGAAGGGTGCGGATGTTTGTTGATGTCAGACACAGGCAGACAGCAAGGAAGAAACAACCGAGTCTTCAGAGGCACCGCTGTTCCTTGCGAGGCTATATATATATAATGTTGTTCGTGATTCTTGACGCTGTCAACTGTCATGGACCTCTCCTTGCAGGTCACCAACATTGAAGCTAAAGATAGAGCTGCTGGCGCGCTGCTGCGGGTTAAGCCAGTCAAAAAGACTACCTTTGTGGTGCAAGCAGGCAAAAAGAAAGCGGCCAAAAAGAAGCCTAAACCTCAGATACTGTAGAAAATAGTTTCAACAATTTCAACCGATTGCTTTTTGCTTGGAGGTGCAAGAAGAATGTGTTTATCCAGGTCGGACTTACTTTACGAGACAGAGCTGACATGTTTTTTTTGGACATACTCTCACTCTTGATCCAAGGATGCTGATGAACACTTCAAGGATGGACAGGATAGCGCCAGTGAGGCGTCACTGGTCTTGGCAATCTTCCTTCAAGTCTAAAGGGCAAGGCATTTTTCCTGCGTCCATCCTCGCTGCATGCTTCGCCCATGTTGCAAAATGCAAAAAAATCTTTCTTTTATGATAGCACTGAACATATCTATATATCTTTTTGTCTATCCATCGCTCCATCCATCTATCCTCTCCTCGCCTATCCTATCTTATCTTATTCTATTGGATCTTAGTTGATCTTATCTTATCTTATCTTACTATCTATCATATATCTATCTATCATGTATCTATGTATCTATGTATGTATGTATCTATCTATCTATCTATTCTATTCTATTCTATTCTACTCTACTCTACTCTACTCTACTCTATTCTATTCTATTCTATTCTATTCTATTCTAATCTATCTAATCTATCTAATCCATCAAATCTATCAAATCTATCAAATCTATCAAATCTATCTAATCAATCCTATCTATCTATCTATCTATCTATCTCTATCTATCTATCTGTCTATCTATCTGTCTACCTCTCTCTCTCTCTCTGCCTCTCTGCCTCTCTCGGTCGGTCGGTCGGTCTGTCGGTCGATCCATCCATCCATCCATTAGAGGTACAAGCCCTTGCCCACGGCCCTGTGGGCTAGTGCGGATTTCCCATTTCACCATCCAGGCCATCATGTGCCACTTTGGTGACCGCAATGGTGGCCACTATACGGGGTTGTTGAAACTTCCCAATGGCACAAGAGACAACCGCGAGCCGGCCTATTTCAACGTGCTGCCCTAGCTTTAAGTACACGACCACGGCGGCCACGGTGATCTTTCTGAGGTCATTCTCTGACCCAACTCCGACAAGGCAGCTTGAAAGGTTGCTTCATTCAACTCTAAGCTTCATGAAGTGGCTTGGACTGCTTTCGGAACTCACTGGGTTGCGCAACGAGGCTTTGCGCCTCGGCATCCGACAAAGACAAAGAAAAACCTCAATCTGTCGAGCCATCCATCCTTCCATCCATCCATCCATTCATCCCAAACCAGAGCTGTCAACTACAGATGCGCAGAGATCCAACAAACTGACCATGTGCAAGACCACATTCAAGTGCCAGTGCAGATCCCTTTCCCAAAGGACTCATGGATGACAAAATGGCTTTGGCTTGCCACATCTCGATGGGGTGGTTACCAAGTACAAATGAGCTCTCAATTTGCATGGCCCTTTCAGGGTACCACGTTCCCTGGATGGCTTCTCAAGAGCTTCCTCAGAGTTCGTCCCCATAGCGTACATATGCCATTGAGGATCCAACCACGAGACGGGTCACTTTTTTGCAATCCTTGTCTACCGAGACTTGATGTGGCTTGCAGCCAAGCCCTTGAGTCAAACGGTCAAGTTTGGGCAGTACAGACTTCTGTCTTCAAGACGCCGCAGGCCGCTGCGTGAAACACATCCAAAACGTGCCAAGCTCACACAAAGGCAGATGCGCCTACACTTTGATGTCTTCTGGCAAGCAGCTAGTTGAATGGAACTGAAACCCACTTGGACTAACAAAAGAAGCATTCCACCCTATGCCAGTGGTTTGCGGCCGGGGTCACTGACCTGGAAAGCTAAACCATCGACGGGTGTGGCTTCCAGGCCTTCCTGTGGGAAGCCAAAGCCAGACCCATCCTTGTCATTTGGGCGTGCTTCAAGACCAATGAAAACCTCAGAGGACAAAGAAACTCGAAGACCCCATGTCCTCATTGGAGACTGGAACAGCCCACCGGGCTGCTTCCAACAGATCATTGCGCTTGATCAAAGTCTCCTCAGGTGTAATGACCTGGACTATGCACTGGTGCACGGTACATTCCATCCAGGATCAGGCTCCATCTAGTGCAGACCCAGGCTTGTGACGAGGTCTCCAGGCCTCAAAGGGCTCTGTTGCTCTCTGACGGCCTTGCCGCAATCAAATTCCACAGCGATTGAAGGATTGGGGCAAGCTTTGGAACATCAGAGACGATGACAGCCGCTCCCTTGCGTGAAACAAGCCGCCAGTTTGACAGTTGGGCACCTCACCACTCCACCCAGCTTCTGAAAACGGCGCCACTCTTTCACTGCCATCATTGTTTGTCTTCATCCAGCAGATAGATGCCCAGTTACCAACTCAACTGCAAATGAGCATGGCGGTCATGTTGGCCAAAATCCTCAGTGCTCTATAGAGTATTACTCTTCCAGCCAGCATTCCTCCATGTGGCGCTGCCAAGATCCCATGGTGGATGCAGAGGAAGACGAGGAGAGAGCAGTGGACTACTTCTAGCCACAACCAAACGCCCATCATGGAACCTCGAGCAAAAAACTCCATCCATCCATCCGTCCGTCCGTCCGTCCGTCCGTGAGATTCATAAAGATCACTCTACAAAACTGGGCGTAGCCGCCTGACATTTTTTCGCCATCACGGCTTGCCAACCGCCGTGGCACCTTCATGACATTGTACATAGCTGTTCCTGTAGGGCCACGCAAGAGTTTCTTCAGGTGTTGCAGACTTGGGAGATACACCCACAGGACCATCATGACTGTGTCTCCACACCAGTCCAAATGTCCGGAGTGCCAGGCCGTCTTTCTCTGCCGCCCTGGCTGAGCATCGAATGACTGCGCGACAGGTGCTTTTGCAGCATCCCATCATTTTTGATCAGGCGAGAGATTCTTCCCTGGGACTACCCACTTGTTCCCACTGCCAGCATGCCTTCTTCGATTGGGATCATTTGAAGCGCCGCGTAGAGAGCCGGGCTTGTCTTCATTTCGGTGCAACTAAGGAAATTCATGATGAGCCGAGTCCATCTGGTGGCAGAGACTTGGGATGACATTCTTGAGCAGTCATTGCATTCTGTGCCAGCGGTTCGTGCCTCGTACGCAAGAATTCACATCACATTTTCATCATCGCCACAGTGACCTTGCTGATCGAGCAGTACAGGCGGGTCGTGACTTCATCGAAGACAGGACAACCTTTGTGCTGCTGCTGTCAATATCCAACTCTTTGCTCTCCATCATCATGGGGATTGAGTTGGAGTCCCGGGCAACTCCTTAGCTGCTGCGCCCGTGCACAGTTGTCACTTGTGCAACTATGGCTGCTTGAATGCACTACATCTAAATGTCCACCTTCGTCATGAACATGCCCTGACTGACTACCTGACTGCCTTGAACTCTGCCACGATCATGGAGCTCCGAGCCTGCAACGCCAACTGTGTACGTTCCACACCACCGGTATGTTCAAGCGCCTCCAGTGTGCACGTGGGCATCAATGGCTTCTGGCCGCGGAGATGGCTGTGATGTTTGGCCACCGCCAGCGTGTGGGCTGGAAGCATCTTGGGATGCTCTACTTTCACTGCGTGCCCTCTACTACGACTTCTGCCTGACACTGTTAATGAATGGTCTGGTGCCTGGACTTCTTGGCCTATTGGCCCAGCAAGACTGGATGAAGCTTCTCAAGACCCATCCGGATCACGAAGTCCTTTGCCACCACTGCCTGCTCTGTGGCCATGATGTGGCACCTCTTGAGATGTTCCAGCACTATGTGGAGACTCATGGTTCTTGACCTCATATGGACCATTGTTTGCTGGCGTGTGGATCAAACAACATCTTGCTCACTTTGCACCCTGCATCAGTGTCCGGTCATGGTGCAACTTGCCAACTGTGCTCTGTGGTTGTGATCGACCTCATAGATGGCAGACATCAAAACGCCGGACTCGATGGATCTGCCCACCCAGCTTCAGGCCACGATGGGGGCCCTTGCACCGATGCTGCTGCAGTCAGCAACTTAAAGGAGGCGGACGAACGGCCGAGAAGCGTCAGAGGACAGACTCCCAAGAGGACCAGAGACCTCAACCGGATCTGCGCAAGTTGATGCGGACCGTGATCCAGCTGCTGCTGAAACACGAAGACCAACTGCAAATCATCAACAAGCAGGGGTCCATTTTTTCGCTACTCCGACAGAGGCAGGGATTCAGCCAACCATGCTGAAGACCACAACCCAATAGACTGAGGCCATGCAGAGTGCCACCCCCTACGAATGCTCCTCATGCAGAGCATCTGGTCCAGAGCATCTTTGACACCTTGATTGAGCGGGTGGCCAAGATCTCTCAGTTGGACATAGAGTCCCAAGCTTGGCAACGCACAATGCCCACGCAGGTCATCCTGGCGAATGGCAGCTGACGGGCAAAGTGGAAGTGAACCAGAAGCAAAAGGGGCTGTCCACGAAGACATTTTGACGACGCTCTGCGAACACATGTGCCGCCCGCTGATGATCCTGAGAGTGCAAGCCCTTCGTCCTCCTGTTGGGGGGGAACCATTCCCTGGAAGATGCAGATCGGCCTGAGAGAGACAGAGCTCTACGATTTGCTCTCCAAGCTAGCCTACAGCAGCGCGTGGCAAATTGTGCAAACGACGATGCAGCCACCCACAATGCCAAGAGGTGCGCCAATGCCAACGGAGAGCCCAAGGAGTCCTCCAAGGGCAAAGCGTCCAAGAAGAGGCCAAGGGCAAAGCGAAGGGGAAGAACTGACCTTGTCGGTCAGCTTGCCACAGCTGAACTTGACTACTGCGCATCGAGCTCTGTGTGGGCAATCCAGATTGCCGGTGCTACTTGAATGCCACGCTCTGGCTTACTTCGGATGCTCCTGAGTGCGCCTTGTCATGATGCCTTGCCGGTCAGGCTGCAGCCTTTGCAATGGCTGAGTTGATGCCAGCCCACACACTCAATGATGTACGGTTGAATTTTTGTTGAATGGTGTCAGCTCCCTCTCCTCGACGCTTGCTGACCTGCAACCGGGTGGAAGAAATGGACACCCCCCACCTGACCCGGCAAGGCTGTGTGGACTCCTGGCTCCACTTCACCTCAACCGAGGCTGGCTGTGCCATCAGGGTGTGGTGATCATACCCGCAGTGAGCATGCGTGGCCTCCAGCGTCCACCTGCCAGTGTTTGAGGGGAGCTTGCCTGTATGGCAAGCAACACCTGGATCGAGAAAAACGACAGCCAGGAGCCCCGGCGCACGCAGGAGTTCGGACACCTCAACCACGGCAGTCCCAGCTTGAAAAGCTGACTTTGATGCTCCGAGCCAGCAAATCTGGCTTGAGGCGATTCCGGAATCCTGATCACATGGATTGGGTTGCGCAACGTGGTCATCTGATTTCGGCGTCCTGCAAATGCATAAGCATCCATCCATCCATCCCTCCGTCCGTCCATCCATCCGTCCATCCTTCCCTTCCATTCCATTCCATTCCACTCCAGTCCAGTCCATTCCATTCCATCCCACCCCATCCCATTCCATTCCACTCCACTCCACTCCAGTCCAGTCCATTCCATTCCATTGCATTCCATTCCATTCCATTCCATTCCATTCCATTCCATCCATGCATCCATCCCGAATCCCGAATCGAATCGCATCGCGCCATCATCGCATCGCATCGCATCGCATCGCATCGCATCGCGATCGAATCGAATCGAATCGAATCCATTTATGTATTTGTCTGTCTGTCTGTCTGTCTATCTATACTTCTGGACAGCAGCAGACCTGTGCAAGAGGGACATTTTGTCCCCCGGGAAAGGACAAGGGCACCTGGAGAGCTTGAGTTTCGTTTTGTCCCTTGTTTTGGTGCCATGTATGGCTTGTCTAACTCGATTGACCAGTTCTGTGAAGTGTGAGGGCTGGTTTGCCTTGGGTTCCATGCGGCGGCCAGGATGCTGCCAGTTTGGCCTCGTGTTGTTTGAAGTTTTGGCTCCCCCGCCAAAACTTTGGGCTTGCATTTTTACCAAACAGGGCGTTTTGCTGTGGAGGTTGTGCTGGTCAAGGGAAGCTGCTGTTGCATGGATTTTCGTTTGTCAGCGATGCAGTCCTTGGGTTGCCAGCGTTGGGCTGATGAGTTTTGCTTTCTTACTGGAAGGATTCTGGTGGGAAGGTAGTCGCTTGTCAGCTGCAGGCTGGTATAAACACTCATTGGTTTTGGTTTTCTTGGGCTCAGGGTTTGGAGTTTCGTTCTGTGTTGGGGAACCGTGAGGGTGGTAGGATCCCCAAACGAACGAAATCAGATTGTCTGTTCAGGTCCGTGTTCCTGGGAATCGGCCTCAGAACGGATTGGCAAAAGGAGCAGACTGGTAACGCGCTCGTCAGCCAAGCGCCACCATGACTGCAGGTCAAGTGACCCAGAACAGTGGGCAAAGCCTGTGCAAGGCAGAATCCTCACCTTTGTAAAGCACTGCACGTGAGCATCACCATGCTGTCACTAAGTCACGAAGGCCTACCAGAAGTCCCAAAGCGAGAAGTTGCTCCGGAGACCATTGAGGTGAATTGATGCAGTTTTGATAGCATTTTTTGACTACAATGGTGGATGCCACAGAGCACAAGCGCAGTCTGAATCACCCGATCCACCCCCTCACCTTTGGTGATATCACAACCGACATTCGTTCTACGTGTTTAGTTTAAATAAAGAAACAGTGACCTGCAACCTACCATTTTGGCTAAATTCTAAGCTGCGCAGTGGGACTGCTTTCTCAAGCCACATGGGTGTGTGTGTGTGTGGCTTGGATTTGAAGCTTTTAGTGGCATCCTACTGATTTGTCGCGTGTTTTGCAGCTACTGGTAACACACCATCATGTGTTTGGCTTGCAAAGATGTGCCAAAATCATCCAAAATCAATTGGGCATAATGCATCAATTGAGGAAGAAAAGAAACCTTTAGAGAGCAACAACAAGGGTGAGGCAGGTGATTGTGAGCGACATTGCTACCGGTGGTGGCGCTGGATCTCGAGCTGTGTGCCTTTTGTTGAGGTGGAACTTTCAGAAGGGTCCGAGGATGTAAATGTAAATCTCAAAGTTTTGAAGCTCTTCCAGGAGCCTCCGCTGTTCAGTATGCTTTCAAAACGGGTCTTATACTTTTGTCGCCTTTTTCCGTGGCTCGAACTGGAGAGGACAAGCGAGTTCCGAGCCGGGAAGCTTTGCAGATGCTCTTGCAGCAACGTCTTGGGCTCAAGAGCCTTTTAGCGTTATACGATGTTTATTTGATCTCTTTCAACACACAAATAAAATAAGTACGTCGCGTTCAATTCTGAGGAGCGGATCCAAATTTTCGCTATGAACAGCAATTCGAACTTCACGGCCCAGTTTTTGCTGTACTGAACTCAAGCGTTTGAGATGAGAACAGGTTTGCTTCCTGCTTTGGCAGTTGTGCGTTCGGTGAGGATGGCTGCCCATTGCAGCTTGGTGTGAACTCTGGGGAGATGGCCTCAGACAACCTTGTGCGTTTGATAATGTAAAACTCGCGTGCTGAAAGCAGAACATTGGCTGTCTTAGTGAGGATCTTCGGCTTGTTCAACTGTTGATAGAGCTGGAACCTGAGCCGACGCTTCTCTTCTATGAAAATTGTTTGGCGGTTGGACCAGACAGAAGCGACCGACTGATTTAGTCAAGAGCGGTTGTGAACCGCAGGAATCGGGCTAAAAAATGCAGAGTGATAGGTTCCTCAAAAGAAAACCTAGCTGAATCATGTCCTTTGCGTGACAGTACCTGGTACTAGCCTTAAGTCGACTCAGCTTGTGTAAAGTCGACTCGAAACGATGCCCTTGCAGAACTGCACTTCACAGGGATGCCTAGGCATAGGTTGTATTGATCTAGAACACATGTTTTTGTGTTGTGCCCATGGTGTGCCTGATTGTCACTCGTTTGTATTTATGAGGCAGCTTCCACAGGGGTGAAGCAAGGATCTTTGCTGTTGTTGTTGTTGCTGCGCTGGCTGGCGGCTGGTTTGCTGCTGCTGCTGCTGCTGTGTCCCATGCGGAAACAAGTGCTGCAAGGGCTTGGCCGTGACTTAGTCGTGACATGGTGTCACAGTGCGACTTGCTTGCCACAACTGCTTTGCAAGGGCTTTCGCGTTTGGGTGTAAATGTTTTCGATGACCGTAGGAAGCCGTGGGGCGACTACAGGAGTCAAGCTCGCACGAACCTCGCGCGGGGTCGCGTGGGGCCTACATGTCACTTGTGTGTGCGGACGCAACCTGTTCTCTAAGTTGCGCATTGGTGTGCATGGTGATGTGCCTTTGAGATTTGGGCTTGAAGCATCTAGAAAGCAAGGCAAAAAGCCCGGCCACAACACAGTGTGCGCGCACGTTTCCTTGAACATGTCGCTTTTGTGCCATGCTTATTTTTCAAGACTTCACGCGGGTGCGTGGGTTGACTTAAGTACGCCGCTTGCACATTTTGGCAGACGCTCACATGTGCGTACAATAGCGTACAGCGCACATGTACAAAACGTTCGCGTAGTAGCTGTACAAGACAGTACAGAACAAGAAGAGTAGTCATCGAACAAAGTTGCGATGGGACGTTTCCGAGCGTGTGTATATGATCGTGGGCGTATAGAAAGCAAGAGAACAGTGAGGGTACAAAACTAACAGTAGATCTGTCGTCCGACAAAGCGACGAAACAGTTCGGTACGTGGCGGGAGAGGGACGGGGTCAGAGGCTTCAGAATGCATTGTCAAGGCTGCTGCGAAAGGTTGCTGAAGGAGAGAGGTTGTCGCGCCGACCCATTAAGGAACGGAATCCGTGGATTGAGAGCGCAAAAAGTGGAGGTTTCTACACAAGAGTATGCTATACCCCCCCTCGCGGAAAATGTTCAGGCAGCAGATGAGCTAACGAGTGTCTTGCGCATCTCCTGTCTACTCTGCCCCGTTCATTCCTATCTCATGCGTTTGTTTTCGGTCACCACACCTGTAGTAGAAGTGGTACCATCAGTGGTAGCCTGTAACACCCTTTAACAATTTGCACTAAAATGTGGCATGTCCCCATGTGAACATTGATGCGCCAGCTGTACCATATGGTTAAACGTTTTCCTTTGATACCAGGCTCCCAAAACCGTCTTCTCTTGCTGATAACCTCTGTAGACACGACGGGAGGTGAGTGAAGGAGTAAAGCACTAGGAAACCCTTTTGATTTTCAAGGAGCGAAGAAAGACAGAAAGTCTTAAGGAACAATATCTTCTTCAGGCATCCTAAACAATCGCCACTATATTCTCAACAACTTAAGATTTCTTGAGCTATTTTTCAACATTATTGTTTTATTGTTATTTGTAGTCTTCACCTGCAGTGCAAGAGGGGGGGCCGGGGGCCCCAGGACAAAGGGAAAAACGCACATATTTCTATATATAATATGTATTATACATATGTATTTTTACGTATCTATTTAAACTGTAGTTTATACATATATATGTGTGTAGCATTTTCAGTGCAGACGATAGAGTATATACGTGACATCATTAGCATGTCACTCTGTGTAGTTGACTCGACTGAAGCCCTTTTTTGATCAAGAGAAAAGTTTGCATGGTAGCGGAGCAAGGATAAGGGTAACCCCCTTTGAGCTCCAGGAAGAAAAGCAGCCCCTAGGTCATAGAGATCCCGGGTGCGATTTCGAGCCATAGGTTTGGGGCCTTTGAAACCCAAAGCTGGACTGGTGCTAAACTGTTGGGAGCGACGCTCTGTACCCCGTACGTTTTGTCAGAAAGACATTAGTGCGCAGTGGAGATGGAGGAGATCAGAGAAATCCTGCAAACTATAGCGCAGGGTTCGCTGGCAACAACGTCAGCAGCTGAGGCAGTGAAGAAAGCGGGCGAAGACAATAAGTCATCAACAACTGGTTGGTCAAGATTGATAGCCAAGCCCAACATCTTTGACTATAAGTCGCAAGAAGAAGAGATACAGGCATTCAGAGAGTGGTCATGGGTATTTGAGAAGTATTTGAGTGCAGTTGATGAGGGCTACGTGAAAGACTTGAAAGAAATTCGCGAAGCGCCAAATGAGAAGTTTGACATGGACTTGGCAACCAGGTGCATCAAGCTTTATGTGAGGGGAAGAGCGCTGCAATTGGTGAAGGCTGTGGAGAACTCCAATGGATTTGATGCGTGGAAGAGTTTGAACAATCGTGGCCAGCATTTTCAATGAACGGTGCACTACAACCTCAACTTCTGAAGCTTGAAGAAGTATTTGACGAACGGTCAAGGCAGGGACGACAATTCAGGAAGAGCTGAAATCTGCTATTCTTTTGAGATGTGTAGGTGGACAACTCAAATCATACTTGAATTTGACAATTGGCGACAATGTTCAATACTCAACTTTGAGGGAACAAGTGTTGCGATGGGAATGTTCGCAGCAGAAGTGGGCTACATCCAGGGTGGCAAGTAGCAGTATAGGACCCATGCCAATGGACTTTGATCGAGTCCAAGGTGCCAAAGGAAAAGGTAAGAAGGGCAAGACTGATCGCCAGAGAGGTACAGGTAAAGATGCAAAGGGCAAAGGAAAGAACGGAAAGGGAGATCAGAATGGAAAAGAAGGTGATCAGAAGGGCAAAGGTAAAGGAAAAGACCAGAAGGGCAAAGGTGTGGCAATGTGTTACACTTGCAAAGCCAGGACATCTTGCTAAAGACTGTTGGAGGAACAATATTCGACAGGTAGCAAGTGATCCAGCCCATTCATCTTCAGAAGGAGCATCAGTGACTACTCATGCAGTTGGCCAACAACAAGCCAATGTTAGCCAGCAGAGTAGCTCAGCAGAGACCAAGCCAGCGGTCAGGAGAATTGAGAACGGTGAGCCGGTCGTCTTTGACTTGCGAGAAAGGGATGATGAGCTAGAAGATCACGGAATTCGAGTCATTCACTTCTACATTGGGGATGATGGTGATGATGATGAGCCAGAGACCTAGGAAATTTCAGGAAATTGACATCTCAGATGGTGAACCCATAGTGAGGAGACTTGGGGAAGAGAACCACTCAACTTGCAAAATCACTCTTTGACGGTTCAGGGCGGCGTTAGAGTCATTCGAGATGAAGATGAAAGCTGCTTGGAGGTGCAAGTACCTGAAGCTTTGGAAAAGGAATCAAGTTCAATGCTGGAAGCTGATTGACTTCAAGAGTTGTGGATCCCACAGTCATTCCAGAAGTCGAAGAATCACCAGAGTTGATGAGAACCACTTTGCTGAAAAGAGGAGGTAGATGGCTAATGCTTGAATATTGTGAAAGCATAATGAAAAAGGGGGAACTAACTTGATGAGCAATTTTTTGATGATGATGCAGTCATTCCTTCAATCGCAATCTTCAGCTATCACCCAGCACCGCCAGAAGATATGGGATTTTTGCGCCAGGAGACAAGAAGCTTGAGAACAGAGAACAGAGAAGTGGAGCAGGCAATCGAAGAGATTACCCCTTCTCTTCGGAGAAAAGAAGGATGAAGACCTTGAATGTGACTTGCAATTGAGCGCAATGGATGTAGATGAGGTCTCAGATAAAATGGAATAGAGTTGGCTAAGGATTCTGCTTTGGCCGCTCTGGGGGCAACGTAATCATTTCCCGGCATTTCAGGCAGTGGCTCTAACCTAAAGGTCTACACAGATGGAGATTGTTGAACGCCAAAGGCTTGGTTAGTGAAGCAAAAGCTCAAATCCAGATCGCCATGAGAGAACAGATGGAGTAGAGAGAGGAAGTATTCCTGAAATGGGCTTTGACTTTTGCTATGCAAGAGCAAGGGGCTCAGAGACAAAGTCAGCAAGAGCAGTATGTTGGTTAGTTACAATTAACAGCCTCAAACTGGATTCATTCATGTTGCATTGTGCCATTAGGCAGTAAAGGCCAATTTCGTCTCATTGTGCAGGAGTTGATGAATGTCCGTCAATTGTTGGGGTATTCAGATCAACTACCCAGGACAATGAACCCACAACAAGGCAAATCTCCAAGATGTTGATCAATGCTCGCCGCAGTCTAGGACTCACTACCAGGTTGGTCAACTCAAAACTTGGAGATCATTCGTTTTTGTCAGAGAACACAGTTGACAGGGTGAGAAAGCCTGCAGGAACATTCATTGAAGGTGTGCGTGTCAAGACTTGGTATCAAGATTGAGTCAGATCATGCACTTTGGACCTGGGCAGCAAGACATGCCAGTTGTGTACTGAATAGGTTTCAGCCAGTCAAGGGTGTAACTCCCTATGAGCTTGCCTATGGCAAGAGTTACACAGGACTTCTAGCAGAATATGGCTGGTTCACGGTTACACCAAGAGCCTCAACAAGGAAGGAGCAAGATGGCGTTCATGCTTGTTCTTGGGAGAGGTCGAAAGACAAGACGCCTATGTGCATACAGGTGGTGCGGAGGTAGTGCTCAGCGCACGCGTTAGAAGAACGGATCAAGATTGGTCCCAATATTTACCAACCTACAAAAGCTTCAACGCTTATTCATGGGAACATCAGACCAACTTTGCGGGCAGAATCATTGCCGCAAAGAGGAGAGCGGAGGCATTTTCATCAGCGCAAACAGACATTGCTCGAGAGCGTGTAGTGTTGAAGTTCAAGGATGAAGATGCAGAAGCAAGAATTGCAAAAGCTCTTGAAGGAGGAAGTGATTCAGAAAAAAGAAACACCTCTGGAAACCCCTGCGGAAGCAATGAAGAGAGGTGGAAATGAAAGAAAACCAAGTGGAGAAGAAACACCAAGTGAGAAACAGAAAGTTCTCGTTGCAGATGAGAAAGCACTTGAGAAGGTGAAAGCATTTCCCTCTACATCGTTGCCAGCAGGACGGCCTAATCCAGTTACTCCTATACTATCTTCATTGAGATCACCATCAGTGCCATCGAGACCCACAAAAGCATTTGAATTGCTCGAAGAGGAAAGTCTAACGAAGAAGCTCAGGCCATCAGATGATTCAAGCAAGAAAGCTAGGATCAATTTGGTGAAAGTTGCAGGTGGAGACCTTTGTCATGTAGATGAAGAGCTATCCCCAGTTGCAGAAGAAGTTGATGAGTAGGACTGGGAAGAAGAAGGAGATGAGCCAGAAGAAGAGGAAGTGAATGGACCTGAATGCTTATGGTATGATGGAGAACATGAACCAGAAGAAGACCCAGAAGAATGGGTAGACAGAGTAGCTGATGAAGTGGAAGAGAAAAGACTCCGGAAGATGCAAGTGTGCTAGAGAGACCAGAAGGTATAGCGCAGAAGGAATCAGTTTCCTGACAGCGCGCAGTGTGTATGACTGGAGAAGAAAGCCCTACCACCTTGAAGATGGGGCAGAAAGCAAGAGGTGGAGGAGAAGATCGCGACTAGTTGCAAGAGAATTTGCGTTCGCTGAAGGAAAGAGAGATGACTTTTCTCAGCAGCGACTTCAGGACATGTATGAAGTTTCTACTCGCAATATTCTTGCAGAGAGTTAGTGAGGAGGAAGAAGCAAGAGAAGGAAAATTTTCCCAGACGATAGGATGTCTTGATGCGCAAGATGCATTTCTGCAGGTTCCACAAGAGAAGCCATGGAAAGTGAACTTGAGAGGAGTTCTTGGTGAAGAGAAGTTTACCTGGGCAAAGAGTTGGAGCAAAAGCGTGGGTTGACTTTTTCACAGAGTACCTCGCCGAGGAACTCAATTACAGTGGTTTCAGAGTAGATGGCGCAATCTGCAAGGGGTGGTTTGGAAGGACCCCCATACATCTTTGGGTTTGTGCCATCTACTCTGAAACTGAAACCACGGTACAAGTTCAGTGTCCGCGCCTAGGAAGAAATTAAAAGGTATCATTTTGATCCATGTGGATGACTTGATTTTCACAGGAGACTCAAAGTACACCAATGAAATAAGGCGCATCCATGAAATCTTTCCCCCAAAGATTCAAGACAGGTTTGACACCAGTGTGAGTTCAGCTTCCTGAGGAGAAAGTACAAACTAGGGAAGGATGGACTATGAATTCTGAATCCAACCAGGTAACTGCATCCAGCAGATGCTGAAAGCCTATGAAGAACAGGTTGGGAAGATCAAACTGCAGCGACTACCATCAGGCAGTTCAATTCAGACGCAAGACGCATCAGAAGTCTTGCGCGACTGTGAAGGACATGGCTTGAAGAATGTCAAATCCCACAGCCATGTCATTTCACCACTTGAAGAAGTTCCCAGGGTATTTGAAGAAGACTATGGACCATTGTCTAGTAGTTGAATTTCCGCAAGCAGGAGAAGGCTGTGTGAAGAAAGGAGAAAGCTATTGGTGCTTGGAAACATTCTCAGATTCAGGTTGGAGTGGAAACAAAAGCCACAGAAATCAACTTCAGGAGCAGTAGGACACAGAAGATCATTAGCTTATCTTCGCGTGAAGCAGAGTTGCGCGCAATAGTTTCTTCAGCGTCAGATGGAATCTACATTCGCTCGGTTCTTGAGTTTGCTCTTGGGACAATTCGCGTGCGATGAAGAGAGGAGTTGGAAAAGTTAGACATTTAACTTAGATGGAAAGCTGCTATGGATTGAGGACAGGATATATTTCAAGTTGGTACAAGTACCAACAGATAGCAACATACAGACATCAATGCCAAGCCACTTGGAGGACAAAGAATCAGATACCTGATGAACCTCATTGGGTACTGGCACAGTGACAACAGACCAGAGTAGGAGTGCGTGAGAGAAAGGTGTTTGAAGAGAAAAGGAACTATTGCCAACGTGCTTGTGAGAATGGTAGCGTTGGAGGGCTTGCAGCCAATGGTTACAGAAACGTTCTTGAAAGAGAAAAACATCCCGTGTGGGTTGGAAATGGCAACTGGGCATGTTGGACCGTTGTGATCGTTGTGATCAATATCATTGGTTTTGCAGCAGTGATATTTGTTCTATTCAAGCTATACAAACCCTTTGAGACCAGCTATTACAGCGCATTGGAACCAGCTCGTTTCAGGTTTCAGGTCAGAAGCATGAGAAGTCCAAATTGGAAAACTTGCGCTAGACATGGAAGATATGGAAGACGATGAAGAAAGGATTGACATTTTGCACGACTATGCCAGGAGAATTCATTGTGATGGAGGCTTTGTTGAGCAGTACTAGATCTTCAGACAGTCACCAGTTTTGATGTGCTTGGAGAGATGAATGCAGGAAACTTCTTAGCCAGAAGGAGCTTGTGCAAGCAGCAGAAGGACCATATCAAGGCTATCGAGTGATGTTGCAAGCAGCCTTGGACGGGGCAACCCCATCACAAAAACTATTGAACAACATGTTTAGGCCAGGAAATAGGGAGCTATCAATCAGAGAAGAGTATGAGGTAAAGCAGGCAAGCCAAATGTGTGGTCGACTGGAAGGAAAGCTTCCAACAGCTTAATGAGAGGCATTGGAACCTTGTGGGAAGAGGACTACAAAAGGCAGCAGACCAAGTTGAAAAGGACATGGAAAAATATCAAGAGCTGCTAGAATGTGCAGTTATGAGAAGAGACAACCCAGATAGACCAATACCAAGAATCTCTAAGAACCCCGTTCCCTGGAGAAAAGAGAAAACCTGCAAAGAAATGATGAAAAAAAGGACTATAGTGGCAGAGTGAGCTCAAAGTAGCAGTTCGATCACTCACACTACCAAGAAGGAGTGGGTAGCATTTTCAGTGCAGACTACAGAATATACATGACATCATTCGCATTTTACTCTGTGTAGTTGACTCGACTGAAGCCCCTTTTTGATCAAGAGACACGTTCGCAATATTGTGTATATATGTTGAATATCTTATAGTTACTATAAAAGTTCTAAAAAATTATGTATATATACTGGGTATCAAACGCAGTCATGAAGCAATGCAATGTCGAACAACTGCAAAATCGACACACAACACTGTAAAACACAGTGTCTTCACAGAAGAGGTAGGTGCTGTATATGAATGTGTAACTTCTAAAAACAAGTAGCCGAAGGAAGAGACAGTGGTCGCCACACGTAGCGATTTCCAGAATAGTCCCCAGACGTGAGTTGTGATTTGGATTCCTAAATGAAAAACTATCCTGAAGTAAAACTTGCTAGAGAAAACCTCCAAAGACTATCTTACTTCCAAATAGAGTTAGATGTCCAGAGGGAAGGCAAGAAGCGTCTGGAGAGGTAACTTTTTTTTACAAAAAGCGTTTTTTTGGCTTTGAAACCTACGGATCTCAGCACGGCGTTTTGCTGACAAACCGTCGTGCAATTCTTCAGGGTTTGAATTTATCCAGATAGAGTCTCTTGGTAAGGTACCGTGGGGACATCCACACATCCACCTACAGCAAAAAGGCTGGTGCAAGCTGGGGTCTTACAGTGAATTCAGAGAGTTTGTGCTTAGTTTCTGAAAGAGAGAGAGAGAGAGAAAACCGGAGGGAACCAAGAACCAGACAGTGCCGATCGCCGATACCTTTCAATCTAGATTCAACATATCAGGCCAAGTCACCTGGTGTGGAAATGCGCCCTTTGCAGCCTTGCCATCCGATTCTTTTCTGCATCAGGGAGGAGTCAACTGCCATTCATTTTGTTGCGGACTTTTCGGGGTGTGAAATGTGTGACAGCTATGAAACAAATACTACAAGTGCAACTTGTCGCGATCCCAAGGACAATGTGGAGATGTTGAAGCTCTTGGCCTCCTTTCTCAGATTCAAGAGTCTCAAATACCAGAAAGTGTCCAGCTGGTTCTAAAGGTGTTCTCTACAAAGAAACACGGGGTAATTCAGCCCAAATAGATCCAAATAGCCAGTATTCTTGGAAGGAGGAGTAGTTATACAAGCTGTTTCAAGCCTGTCAACTAAACATGTTCTAACTGGTCTAACTGGAATAGTTATATAGCTCTTTGCAACTTAGGTTGAGAGCCACAACGTTTCATCCAATTTGACATCATATTTAGGTGGCCGCCGAGGGTTCGGGTTGTGCAAAAAATTGGGACGACAGAAATGAGACTGTGTGCTTTGTGCGTTGAAGCGCACCTTTCTCTCATTGAATCTCTCCCTTGCCTGGCTGTTGCACCCAATCAAGCCTGCCTTAGAAGCTTCGCCCTGTTTCAAAGGTGCTTGTTTGCCTTGCTTAGGTGACAAGCCAGGTGCCAGCTTGTCAGTTCCTTAGTCCGACTGCAGTTGCAACGGTTTTTCTATGTCCTGCTTGGCTCCTTTAGAGATGCTTATGTAGAGATTCAACGCAGATTCGTTCCCATTTTCGGAATCGAGGCTCTGGAACTCGTCCTACTTTGGCGCTTTGAAGTGCACTCGCTATTTGCTTGAAGTGTACCTTGACTAGACATGACTAGACAGCTCTATGGAGCGGTTGCCAGAGCTCTTACTGCGCTGGACAATTCCACAGGAAAGCTGCCATTTCCAAGACGGCCCCATTTCAGGCTTGGTGCAGTGCATGATAGAATACTTCTGGAACATTTGTCGTGTACTGCGCACACAAAACAAGCTGCTTGAGGACATCAAAGGGCTGAACTATGCTCCACTCCACGTAGCTGCCAGGACGGACTGTGTGGCAAATGGAGAGTGTTCAGACCTCCTTTCTTCATGTTTTAGATGAATTTTGTATCTTTGCATTTGTGAGTTCCGACATGTTATTGCGATGTAGATTATTGTGGGACATTAAGCATTCAATAGTTAACTAGCTCAAAAAGGCAAGTGTTTTTGCACCTGTGGCAGCCTTGCACCACATTTCTATCATAAGCAATGGTAAATGATTGACAGCCTCATGAAGACCCAATCTGAGATTTGTTGTGCAAGTTGGTTAGCTAGAATACTTTCCGTATCACATGATAGAACCGTCCTGCGATGAGAGTACATGTCACATGAAACACATAGAGATGTTGCCTCAAAAGGTTTTCAGAAGTCACTAGGCCAGACTAGGCCCTGTCACAGAGACTAAGTCTGAGAGGTGCATGTGATGTCGCTGCACCATAGCTCAACTGCCATTCTCATGACATGCCAAGAAGCACATCTTCTGGCGTGCTGCGAGCACTTCTAAGGGTGGGAAATGAAAAGTGCTGCGAGCTTCTCCTGGACTTTGCTGCGGACATCAATGAAAAATCGGAGGCGCTGTGCTCAAGACTAGGGCAAATCTAGGTGTTTTGCCTTGGATTGTGGCAAACATAGAGAGTTTGAGGTCGAAGTACCAGAAAAAAGTTGCCTGTGGCGTTCTTGGTTACTCGGAGTTTGTGCAAATCTTGCGCTTTGCTCTCATTTCCACTGAGGAAAGGTGCTTGGTTCTTTACTCCTCTTGATGCAGCCATTGAGTCAGATCCCTATCCTACTCCTGCGAATCCAAACTGTTGAGATTTTTGGGAGCCTTTTAAGAAAAACACTACAAGCAACGAGGAAAGCTCCAAACTTTTGTTCAGAAGGGCTTTATGATACAGCTACTGAATGGAAGTACGAGCTGTATCGCCTTCACTGTGAAGCAGCCGCTGTGCAAGCATGCACCATGTTGTCAAGCCAGCTTTTCACAGCTTAGGATGAGTCAAATTGCCGTCGTGAAGCTGCTCCTGAAAAAGAAAGCTGACTTGATTATTCGGAAGGAGAACACTGAACCGCTTCACTTAGCTTGACCTTGAATATGCCGTCTACAGGACAGTTCGAAGTATCAACTTACATCAGAGAATGCGCTCCTCTTAGGGCTGTTGAGAGTTGCTTTCTTGTAATGGCACAACCACATCCAGAGCGACTTAGGATCAAGATGTGCGAATTCGGAGGCTTCTTGTTGAGTACTGAAACAAAGTCAGGCTCCCTACCTTTGACACCCCCCAAACCTCGAAAGGTATGACTACTCTCTTCAAAGCCTGCTGAGAAGTGGCAACAGCAGGGTCATCTCAGAAGTGGCAAAAGCTTTGCAGGACAAGTCGTAGAGTGGAAAATGAAGGTTTCTTGGCCGCTCTCCGGAGTGGGCTGTGGACATGCAGGACTCCTGGCACCAAGTCACCCTTTTGACGGTTCAGGATGCCAGCGAGTGAGAGTTCAGTTTGAGAATAGCTGAAAAAACGCAGAGAGGTGATTGCTGTTTGTCCGAAACATTTGCATCTCAAGCTTTTCCTTTTTAGATCTTTTTTATGTACTCTGTTGAGCTTTACAAACTCAGGACATTGTCCGCTTTCTGAAAACACCAGGCCGGGTCAAATGCGATGTGATAAGCGAAGCTTGTTAGACGTGATAACTTCCAGGTGAAGCGCCTGTCAACTTGATGAAGGCCATCACATTTGTTTTGCTTGAATGTGTGAGCTGCCACTTGCTGGTGCATACAGCAATACAAATAGACATGAAACTGCGAGGCACTCTTCTATGAGTCAGGTCAAATCAAGCGGAAAGCTTGGTCTTCTTTCCTTTAATCTGTTCTTGTGTACTAGAGTCAGGAGGTTTCAAGCGTTAAAGCTGAGATTGGGCATGCTCCTACACTGGGACAAAGCATGGAACTTTTAATCACAGGTTCAAGGGGTGAGCGCGTTGTTGGTGTGCCACAAGTTCTTGTTTGTACGGTGGAGATTCGTTCATGTCAATCTGTGGTGTTGGCAACCAGCTAGTTTTGTGTGATTTTGCATTTGGAGTGTGGCGAGTCTGGTGCTCGGTACACGCGCCCTTTGACACCCATATGATTAAAAGCTGTTTTGACAGAGACATGGCAGTCGCATGCGCAGTGCTCGTGATAAAGCCCTTGACGAACTACTGAAACCAACGTTAGCGGTTGAACAGATTGAACATTAGCTCAAATGAAGGCAACGGATAACCCCAGCTTGCTCAAGAGTATGTATGTATGTATATATAATATACATAATATATCATTTGGCATATTTAGCATCATGTAGCCAAAGTTTGAGTCACGTCCGTATCAGTCCATCCTCAACAGCAGCATGATTGAATCATTCAGTCATTGTTCACTCGTCATGCATGCTCTCTCCCTTGTCGGTCACATGTTTTGCGTACTGCTGAAGCTTGCAAGTTAAGTTCCCCCAAAATCTAGGAACCAAAATTCATCAAGGCTCAGGCTTCTTCAAGGAAGAAAAAGCTCCCCGCCCATGCGGAGTAGCATTCCAGCAGTCAACTTTACAAGATCACATGGGGAATGGCTAATCGGAAGTCTTCTATGCATTTCATTGCGAGCTTATCGCGGCCCGCTATTTCTCGATCAGCCAGCCAGCCGGCCGGCCGGACAGCCGGCTGGCCAAGAACCACGGTCCAGCTGGCCGGCCGGCCGGCCAAGATCCACGGTCCAGCCGGCCGGCCTAGTACTACTACTACTACTAGTAGTAGTAGTAGTAGAAATAGTAGTAGTGGTAGTCGCGGTGGTAGTAGTAGCGGTAGTAGTAGTGGTAGTAGTGGTCGTAGTAGTGGGAGTAGTAGTGGTAGTAGTCGTAGTAGTAGTCGTGGTAGTAGTCGTGGTAGTAGTCGTGGTAGTAGTCCTGGTAGTACTACTACTACTACGACTACCACTACTACTACTACTACCACTACTAGTACTACTAGTACTACTACTACAACAACTACTACCACTACGACTACCACTACCACTACCACTACCACTACCACTACCACTACCACTACCACTCCCACTACCACTACCACTACCACTACCACT